CAGGACACATGATATGAAGAGAACAAGTATCAATTGGGTCAAAATGTGCCAGAAAATTATGCCAGAAGAATTTTGAGATGTGACTTAATAGTAGTGAGGGAGAGGTCTATAGAGGGAGAGGTCTATAGAGGGAGAAAGTTCCATAATCTTGCGTCATCATTGCTACTATCAGAAAAGAATTCAACATCTGGAGCTATCTTCTTAAACTCTTGTAAGATCTCAAAAATATTGCCTCCTTCAGGTAACACGACCTCTCTTCTTACTGCTGAAATGCACAATCAAAAGCCCCATTTTTAAATGGGTGTGTGACCACACCCACTGTACATGTGCTAACTCACGTGACATTTATCATAAACACTAGATTGTGACATTTTAAGCTTAGGATGTGACATTGTAAGCTTACAATGTGACATTGTAAGCTTACAATGTGACATCACAGACTTGGGAATTTTGTTACAAACAGCGTGCCATACAATCTGTCCACGACCATACCTGAGTACTAGTTACCAGGGAGCTGTCCAAATATTAGTGATGGGTGATACCAATAAATCTAATTCGGTTCGATTTTGAGTACTTTTTCTCTGAGTATCAATGGTATTGAGTACGATTCTGAGTACATGCTATTAACCATGCCCCTTTAAAGTATCAATAGTTATAATAATAGTATTATGTGTATAGGTTGCATGCATAGACACTAACTGAATTGTCTATTAGCCATGCTGGCTACAAGTTTAAACTTTAAAGGTTTTGATTTAGGAATACCATCTTGTCGATGTTCTCTGGTTTCAACCTGCTACGTATCTCAAAAACCAGTTGTCCACCGTTTGAAAAGAGCCTTTTTGAAGGTAGAGATGAACCCGGAATACATAAGTATTTACAGGCAATTTGATTTAAGTATGGAAACCAGGCTTCGTCCTGCTTCCACAATTGAGAGGGATCCCTGGTCCTATCTATTTTAGGCTCTTCAAAGAATCTTCGTACTTCGATAGTGTTCTGAGACTGGGCCCTCTTGTGGCTTGTAGAGTCATATACCGAAGCATCAAATGAGTTCCAAAGACTAGAAGAAGCAACTGTAGTCAGACCATCGGCATGACTAGGAGATACTTCATCGCTCTCTGATGTAGTTGTGGATGCAGTAAGTAGGTTGGCTACCTCATTTGTAATTCGGCTGACTGCGTGATCTGATGATGCTGCTGTGGAAAAAGGCAGTTTCTTGAACCTAGGATCTAGTAGTGTTGTTACAGCAGTAATGAATGCTCCCTCAACAGGAGCAAAACTATGAGGCAATTCACTCAAGAGCTTTGTAGCTAGGGGGATTGAGTTATGAGAAATCATGGCCTTTTGTAAGTTGACAAGTGGAATAATCAGTGATGTTGTGATATATTTATTCCCCAATATATTCACTGTAGGCTCAAGGAATGTGCCCAATACAGAGAGTGAATCTGATATTAGTGACTTTTTGTCATCTATGAGGCAGAGATGGTTCTGGTCAGTCAAGCAGAGAGCTGTTGTGAGCACATCTTTTTGCTCAAAAATTCTCTGAAACATGAGGTACATGTAAGTGGAATTCCATTTCGTTGTCACTTCCTGCACAAGTTTATGTTCAGGCAGTGACAGCTGCTTTTGTATGTCTCGTTGCTTTTCAGCTGACTTGACACTCCTATGGAATTGAGACACAGTGTCTTTACATTTCTGTTGAACATGGGTGAGATGGTCATCATTACGGATAGTTGTTTGCACCACAAGGTTTAATGAGTGAGTAAAACAAGGTAAATGCCACCATGTTGTCCTTCCAATTGCTGCAATCATGTTGCTTGCATTGTCTGCAACAACACAGACTACTTTTTCAGCTATATTGCCGGCTGAAGCAGCTCAGAGGCAACGTTATCAGCTGTATTGTCAGTCAAAAACTCAAAAGTCTCTATAACTGCTGATTTCAACTCCCACTGCTTTGTGATATAATGAATTGAAACACAACAGTATGACCTACTTTGGTTTGAGGTCCATATATCTGTTGTAAAAACAATATCAAGAACTGTTTCCAGTTCTTGATGTAGCCTGGTTTTCTCCTCCTCATAGACATCATGCAGCCTGCTCATAACACTTCTACGACTGGGTAGTTCATATTTGTTGTTCAGTTGTGCAACAAAATCTTTGAACCCAGTATCCTCTATCTCACTTATTGGCTGCAGGTCAGTTGATATCATTTTCACCAACACTTCATCAAGTTTTTTGTTGATGCTATCTTTAGGATAAAGCTGTGATCGTTCTACAGCTTGTTGGAGGGTGGGCTGTTTGACAGTGCTGCTTTCATCTTTCTTCCTTCTTTTTTTCTTCATTTGCCTTAATTTTTTTTGGCACAGTTGCTGTGCTGTTGTGGGTGTTTATTCTTCAGGTGTTTCAGTTGAGTACTGGTACCGTATAAGTGGTTTTTTTCGAGGGGTGCAAATTTCGTGAATTTTGCGAATTCCCCATTGATTTGCGAAATTAAAATGCATGAAAATAAATTAACTTTTAATAAACACACCACACCTTCATTAATTGATTTAGTTATTACGTCTAACCACACCCATAACTCATGGCACTGCTGAAGTTTCTCAAGAAGTCTACTGTTCTTCCTCACCCTGACGGCCCTCTGTCTGAGCGAGTCCCTGCTTCCTCTATTGCTGTAGCAAATAAAGAAGTAAAGAGTCTGGTTGTTTCCCCTGTTGATGAAGTGAAACAAGGTAGATCCAGCTATGGTGCCTACACTGAGAGCAAGAGTAGGAAAACGTGCTTCTGAAATGGGGGGTAACAAGTACTTTGAAATATTTTAGAGATGAATTTGTTGATCGTCCTTTAAAAGAAAGAACAGTAAGAGGTTGGAAAGTATGTTACGAGCAAGAATTGAAGCAGAGAGTCAAAATTGGAATAGGTGACAAGGCCATTAAGAAGCTTGTGAACGAGAAGAGAGGTCATCCATTTCTTTTTGTTGATGAATTGGATTGAAGACTCCAAAAGTATATAAAAATCTAAGAGAATCTGGCGCTGTAGTCAATTCCGCTGTTGTAGAAGGAGCTGCATTAGGAATTGTTAAGGATTATGACAGCAACCTACTCAAATGTAATGGTGGGCATATTGTTCAAGGTAAAAGCTGGTCGAAGAGCTTTTTGAATTGGATGGGTTACGTCAAAATGAGGGCAACTAAAAAATCAAAAGTGAAACCATCTGATTTTGAAAAGTACAAGAACCAGTTTATTCTCGATGTAATGACCATATCTACAATGGAAGATATCCCAAAGGAACTGATAATAAATTGGGACCACACAGGCATAATTTACATACCATTGAGTTCTTGGACAATGGAGAAGGAAGGGGCAACACAAGTTGAAGTTGCTGGTATCAATAATAAAAGACAATTAACTGCCATTTTTTCTAATACTATGACTGGGGATTTCCTCCCTCCTCAATTGATATATGCCGGAAAGACTACTAGATGTCTTCCAAAGTCTGTTACTTTTCGTAAGGACTGGCATGTTAATTTTTCTTCTAATCATTGGGCTAATGAGGCTGCAACAGAGGATTATATTAATGCCATTCTTTTACCTTACGTTGCCAAGAAAAAAGCTGAACTTTTATTACCTATAGACCAACCTGCCCTTGTAATATTTGACAGGTTCAAGGCTCAGTGCACAGAAAAAATTCTGTCATTGCTTGACAAGAATCACATCCGTATCACTATTGTACCTGCTAAATGTACAGACTGGCCAGCTTCAGCCATTGGATATTAGCGTTAATAGATCTGCTAAAGAGTACTTAAGGAAACAGTTTCAAAACTGGTACTCTGAACAAGTGTGTAAGCAACTGAAAGGAGAATTAAAGGCAAAGTTGATTGATCTTTCACTTTCAATTGTGAAACCTCTTGGAGCCAAGTGGATCTATATGATTATTTGAAAAGCAATCCATCTATATCTGCTAATGGGTACAAGGTTGCTGGAATTTCCTTTCAATATTTTCATGCAGTATGTACACACACTACTTACAATGTATAGTTGCTGGTATGTATAAATTATAGTGAATGTTACAATTTTATTAATTGGGGCGAGCATAAGCGAGCCCCACTCAGGCGAAGTTTCCCTCCCTCCCTCCCTCCCTCCCTCCCTCTGTATGTATGTACTTACGTCTCCAGTCACGCCTATTCTGGTCACACCCATGTGTGCACAACTCTCTATTTAGAAATCAATGATCTAATGCGGTAGCATTCTAATGATATATCTTCATTGATGTGGGTGTGGTTACTATAAGTGCAATGAAATAAAAATGGCGCCTACCTTAGCCAATCTTACTTGCAGCAACATAAGACTGATCTGTTGTCAAGACACTTCGCCAGCAGAGAAAATTTAAGAAAACTCACACAAATCTTCAAGTTTATATTAATTATGGTTGAATGACAGAATAAAGCACCTCAAATGGCTCATCAGAGAAAAGAAGTCTTAAAGTACTGTGCTTGAAAATATCATAGTAAAAATTAAATTATACTTATTAAAGTTACAGCTGATATTCTTCACTGCTAATAAAGCTAGAAGAGCAAGCTATAAAATTTCCTTTCATGCATGCAAGTCACAAGTTCTGAGCTGCTGTGCATGTGTATCATTTACAATTTGACAACAACATTAGCCTTTGTGACATCTAAACATTGTATATTGCCATGCTAGCTTGTGCTCGCCCCTTCAATGTTCTACATTCGCCTAGTTAAAATGAATCATATTGCAATGTGTGTGTACAAATAATGACATTAATTTAGAAGCATTAATAAAGGTGTTAAATAATCATAATCAAACTTTGTATGTAGGAAATAGAGACCTTTGGGTAAGAAGCATGAATAAAGGTGTTTCCTCATTTCTGATTGACAGAGATGCATTGCTGACACGTCAGTATTGAAAAGTAGAGCAGTAGCTGTAATAGCAAGTACCCCACAATCCTGTCCTCCAGCTCGCTTGGAGTGTTAACCAAAACTATTTCTTTTCTTGATCTTTCAAACAAATTGAATATAACTTCTGTTGTAGCTTTGCCTACAGTCATGAAAATGGAATCATACACTTGTACAACTAAACTTCTACAAGATAAGCTTGATGCTACTATCCAGTGATTTCCACAAACAAAGATTATTTGAAGACCACAAGATATTTTTGCTAAAGGAGGTCTATTCTGCAAAATTGTATAACCTAGCCCTTCTGTGCCAGGAAACTGCTTTATTAAGATTTTCTGTGCCAGATTTATGTGTCAATCATTTAGCTTGTCATTGTTCACTAAAACCCTCTCATCTGAAATTGTTACCATAAAACCACGAAACTTAATCAAGTCATCTTCACCAAGTAATATACAATCAGTTTCATCATCTAATATTTCTATCACTGACCCTGGTATCTTTCCATCTGTCTTTAACTTTTTGCTTGGAGGCTGCGATGATGAAATGGCTGACGAGGAAGCAGCAGACAACAAAGAGGCATCACAAATTACATCAGCTACATCTGGAATCTTGGCAGCAATTTCTAACATCATTTGACCTTAGAAACTTTCTTCTCTAATCCATAAAATGTAATGGAGCAGGGTAATTCAAGACCTCCCTGAGGCAAGTCAGCAGAATGTCTTCTGGGCCATGTTATTTGACAAACCATTTGCCCTCCGAGTCTTAAAAATAGATGGCACAGCAGAAATCTTCCTGGGAATGTGTCCTACAATAATATCTTGTCTCACAACAGCAACAGCATATGGGTCCATGATATTCCCAATTTTTTCTTTACATAAAACTACTTCTTTGTGCTCTGGTATCCATACACCTTTGTAAATATGATGGCCATGAACACAAGACAGTATTACCAGTCTCTCCATGATAAAACACGTGGATAATTGAGGTGGGTGTGGTTACACGTGAATACTTGAAATGGGTGTGGTAAGGATAGCTTGATGAAGTGTGTGGTTTCCTGTCGGTACTGCATTCGCAAATTAAAATCCGCGAATTAGATTTTGAACAGATTTCGCGAAATATAATTCCCTCAAAAAACCCACTTATAATGTATTGCCACTGTTTGGCTTGATTTGAGTTTTGCAGGTCAAGCACACTGCAAATTCAGGGTCACTATCTTTTTGGAAGTGATTTTAAACAGAGCTTCTTGGTCGCTTACTCATATCGGAGTATATCAGAGACAAAAATTCAAACACTCACTGCAGCTGAGAAGTAATTGCAATGATTAATTTGAATTTTACTCCTTGGATTGATCAATTAATTGTTTTATTATTATTAATTATTGTTCATTAATCATATGCTCCTCCATGTACTTGTTTCATTGAAATTAATTTTGAGCAGGTGTGGTGACTGTGGTCAAAGCTAAGCTAAGTGATCAGGGGGTAGAATATGTAGTATGTTATTGTTGTGACAAACTGTTAGTTTTGTAAGATAAGTTTCAAATGCTGTCCCCAGACTTCTGTCTAGCAGCGTAGAAGGCTGAGGCTGAAAAAGTAGATACCACAATCTTCTTTGGCATAGCAAATATGATTTCAGTGATGTAAGTGAAGAACTGGATGCCGGCCATTTGAACAGTTTCAACCGAATCAGCTCCAAGCTACAGTTACCTTCCTAGGTACAATAATATGTGCATTAACTTTTCTAATTATTATCTTTAATTCAGAATACTTCTGTGCCCAGTTTATTCGGCCATGTGAAGCAAGCCTAATGCTCAGTACTGAAATGCTTAATGCTACAAGAAGGTAGCTAACTTCAATTGCTGTAGAGATTCCTAGATCTAGCAAGCCAAGATTAATTTAATATTTTTTCCATGCAAGATCTGAGCAATCATGCATAAGTAGATGTACAATTTTTTAAACATCAAGATTAACGTGAATGAGATATGAACTGTTGAGGGCTGGGCTTATTATTTTATTAATTATTTATTAATAACTATTAGTTTGTTAACTATTATTAAAGTTAAGTGGGTGTGGTTGTACTGGCAATTGAATGTTTTGGTACTGGAAATGTTTCGATACCAATTTGATACTGCCTTGGAATCGAAGAATCGAGTATTTTGGAATTGGAATCACCCAGCACTACCAAATACTCTAGTAGATGAATGACATCAGCTGGCTTAAGTGGAGAGCTAGAAGAGACTTGAAGTGGGAGGCGACTTATAGCATCAGCACACACATTATTCTTGCCTTCCTTATAAGTAGTAGTGTAGCTATACGCTCCAAAAGTGAGAGCCCACCTCTGAATACGTCTGGATAACAGCACAGGAATTCCCTTCTTTTCATTGAATAAAAATGTTAAGGACTTGTGATTCGTTTTTAATTGGAACGGTCTACCATAGAGATATCAATGAAACTTCCGGACTGCAAAAATGATGGCCAGCGCCTCTTTTTCTAATTGCAAGTACTTTTTCTCGGCCACTGTTAGTGTGCTAGAGGCAAATCAATAGGACGCTCCTCACCACTGGATAGTCTGTGAGCTAGGACAGCACCCGTAAGGAGATGCATCACATGGGAGAGTTAATGGTAATGTGTCATCAAAACGAATCAGTACTCTTGAAGACTTCAACAACTCCTTAATTTTTCTGAAGGACTTCTCATGTTCCTTTCCACATGACCACTTGTTCTTAACGTGCAGCAATTCATACAATGGTGTGAGCATTGTGGCAAGATTAGGCAAAAGTTTGCAATAATGTTTCAAAAGACCTATGAATGAACGTCACATTTGATGGAGCTGGAGCATTTGAAATGGCTTTAACTTTAGATTCAGAAGTCTTCAATCCTTCTCTACTGATTGTATGGCCCAAATACTCAACCGAGGAAAGTAGAAAACTACATTTCTCTTGCTTCAATCTCATTCCAGTTTAAGGACATCTGAGAGACGAGCAAGGTGCCCTTCTTCAGTGGAACCTGCAAAAGACTCCTCCAGCTCTATGTTTTGATAGGCATGTGATAGATCTAGCTTGGAAAAGTTTGTCCCGTCAGACAATGAAGCTAACAAGTCTTCAATATGAGGAAGAGGATACTTGTCTAACTTTGTCACTCGATTTGCAGTGACCTTGTAGTCCCCACATATGCGAATGGATCCATCTCTCTTGATCACTGGAACTATCGGAGCAGCCCAGTCAGCGAAACAAACAGGTTTAATAATGCCATGTTCCTGAAGATGGTCTAATTCAGCTTCCACTTTTGCTTTCAATGCATAAGGGACCAGACAGGCTTTATGAAATATAGGTGTAGACTGAAGATCTACAAACATCTTACCTTGCACTCCACTTTCCCGAGCCCTTCATTGAATACTTCCCCAAAGCATGTTAGTATGTCTTGTAAAGAGCAATTGGTTTCTATACTTTAAATACATTCTGCCAATCTAATTTGAGCATTGACAGCCAATTCTGCCCAAGTAGTGTAGAACCCTTGTCCTTCATTACAATCAAAGGCAATATCATCCTTTGACCATTATGATGTACAAAAACCTCAGTGGAACCCAATACCTTGATTGGTTGTCCCTTGTAAGTATGAAAATTGGCTGTGGAGCATTGAAGAGGCTTCTCAGGATCTTGAACTAATCAATAGGTGTCTTCTCCCATTAGAGAGACAGATGCCCCTGTATCAATCTCCATCTCCACACTAACCCCATTGATGAGAATGCTTGCTAATAGAGGTTTGTTTGAGGCGTTACCAGCTACTTTCAACAAGGAATAATAGTCTTCACTCTCTCCCAACGACTTTTGTCTGTGCTTGATCTTTACTAGAGACAGTGTCACCTTTGTCTTTAGCTTCCTTCTTGCGACATACTGATGCTAAATGACCCTTCTTCTTACAATAGTGGCACATATAATCTCGGAGATGACACTGAGATGCTATGTGTTCACCACCGCAGCGATAACAGATAGCTGTAGATGTGTCCTCTTTCTGCTTAGGACACTTTGATTTTTCCTTTACATGGTGAAGAGGGAGTGTTGAGTGGGGATTATCATGTAATTGCTTTAAATCATTAGTAGCTGCTTTGGCTGCTAAGGCAGTATCCAAGGCTGTATCATTTGTCAGCTTAGATTCCTTAAGTAATGTACGTCACACTGCCTTGTGCCGAATCCCACAAACAATACAATCACGGAGCATGTTGTGAAGTATAGCCTCAGGATATGAACAGTGCTCTGCAATTTTCTCAATGCAGCATAAGTGTTGAACTCAAAGCACTTAGTAATAGGAGAAGGCATAGGATTTAAGTGACTCTGCACTTCGGTTACTAGCTCCTGCAAGGAATAATTGGTTGGCTTCCTTGGCAGTGACAATGTCTTTAACAGAATTGTGAACTTGTGAACAGAATTTCTCACTGAATGTCAGCATTATTTATGCTGTTAGCCTAGAAATAGTGCTCGAGCCTCTTGGTGCACTCCACCCAATCCTTCTGGGAAGAGTCAAAAGTAGTAATGATTCCATGATAAGTAGGTGCTGCCATCTCTTCTCCTTCGTTTCACTGATTCCTTGTTGCCAATTGTTGTGTACTAATGCGTGAATAGACCACGATAGTGACCAATAACAATTCTAAGTTCTAAAAAGAATTATCTTTGCAACAACTAACTATAAAAACAGTACACAACGAGAGAAGTAAAGTATCATATGCAAGGATAGACAATGGATGCACATATAGAAGAATAGAAGAGCCAGTTGCGCAGGCCCAGGTATAGTCTCGTCGCCCCGCCCCTTCGCTTTTTGTGGAAGGGTCTGGGGATACTCAAGGCTTTTTTGTTGCATTGCGCTGGAATGTTGGTGCACCAACCAGATTGCTCTAACCACGTGTGATGACCACAACGGTGTGACAGTCACATGACTCTGTTAAAAATGGCATCTTTGTCAGTGGAAGCAGGTATCAAGACCTGTATAGAGCGACTTGGGTTCAGTGAAGTTAAGAAGGAGCAAGAAGAAGCAATGATAAAATTTGTTACTGAAAGAGATGTTTTTTTGTGCCTACCTACTGGTTTTGGCAAGAGTTTGTGCTACTATAGCATACCAATTCTCTTTGATGTCCGGGCTGGAAGGAGTTCACCAGGTCATCAGTAGTAGCTGTAAGTCCACTTGTAGCTGTAATGAAAGACCAAGTGGCTTCACTTCACAGAGAGGGCTTAACTGCAATAGAAATAGTCAATGAAGACAACAACAATCAGACTGCAGTTGTCAGAGGTGATTTTCAGTATATCTTTTCAACCCCTGAAATCTTGCTAACCAATAAAAACTGGGTCAATGTATTTCAGAGTTCCTCATTCCTGGAAAGGCTAGTTGGAGTAATAATAGATGAGGCACACTGTGTCCAAAATTGGTTCGTCTAACTTATGACAATATTATTCAAATTAATATTAGTTTTTATAGGGGAATCAAATTTCGTAAGGAGTATGCTAAGTTAGGAGAACTTCGTGGTTTTTTTTCTCGTGTATGCATGATGGCTCTTACAGCCACGGCTTCGACTTCATCTCGGAAGGAGATAATTAAGTTACTTGGGATGAAGAAACCACACTTGATAATAAGATGTCCCAACAAACCTAACATCATTTATTACGTGGAAGAAAAGACACAAGATATTGAAATAGTTTTCAAACCCTTAGTTGAAGAAGTAAAAGTGAAAGGAACAAGAATGGATAAAGTGATTATCTTTTGTTGGACCTGTAATGATTGTTCTGCCATATACTACTACTTTAAGGATTTATTGAAGGAGATTATTACTGATCCACAGGGCTATCCAAATGTACCAAAATTTCTAATTGTTGATATGTTTCCTGCTTGCAATTCTGATTTGGTGAAGAATAAAATTCTTTCATCTTTTTCATCTGCTACAGGTCGTTTAAGAATTGTGTTAGCTACTGTAGCCTTTGGTATGGGCATTGACTGTCCTAACATCAGGCATGTTATTCATTGGAGTCCACCATCAAATTGTCAATCTTACATTCAAGAAACAGGCCGTGCTGGTAGAGATGGAATGACAGCTTATGCCACACTCTTTTATTCAAGAAAGGATGTTTCTTTACCCAGAGCTCAATCGTGAAATATTGTATTAACAATAATACATGTCGACGAAAGGTGCTTTTTGAAGATTTCGATTATAAGACTGATAATAGTAATACTGGCTGTAAATGTTGTGATGTGTGTGCAATCGTATGTCAGTGTTATGAATGTTTACAGGTTGAATAAATTATTTTGTAATGTGTTATAATTAAAATTTGAATAATTATGATTACTAAATAATGCGTGATCAATAAATAAGAATTGCTGAAATAGAGAATCAACAGAGTAGGTGGTGTGCATTGTGCACTTAACGATTAACGAGTTTAAATAGCTGATCATTAAGCAAAGATTTCAATTCATCCTGTTTAATTTTTCCTGCTACATTGCACTGGAAGCCTTTAAATTCGCTGTGCTTTTATTTTGGTATTTTGTCGAATACATTAATTTTACGTAACTCATCCAGTACTGAGTTCACAAGATCATTAATGTCTTCTAAAATTGGCAGACATGGAGAATCATCTATATTACTAACGTCTGTTCTTTCCTTAACTGCATAACTATGGAAGTAATGCAGTGACTGAGTGTGACTTTCAGATGTTTATTCCCTTGTCACCAACAATCTTGAATGATGGATAAGACACAAATTTGGGTGTCAAGGTGGGTGTGATATCTGTTCTGGTCATGAACTCTCATTAACAGGCTCTGGTTCCGACTATATATATACATATATAAAATAAAATCAGAATTAAACTAAAATTAGATTTTCACCTCTTGTTTAGAATTGATTGATGAATCAGAACTCATGTCAGAAAGTATTGGAGAAAATGGAGGAAGAGAAGATGACGAAGAACAAAAACTTTCCTTATCATTGTTTGAATTGTCTGAGATATCATCTGTATCAAAGATATCTGCTATCGAGGTTTCATTCAGTACAATTTCTCTATCCTATGAATTATATAAGTCATACATGTCACACAAAGTTATTGATTTCCACCATATGTTAAAATAAACTTCACTGATGTCTTGGCACCATTTCTTAACTGGTCCATCAAAATCAGTTCCTAGAGCATCTATGTATCAGATAGTGCTTTTATGTGACATGCATACCCCGATCTTGTGTAGTCTTTTGTAAAGCTACCAATGAAAAATGAATTATATTTGTATTGTTGATGTAATTACCTGTTTGGAACAGTGACTCGAATAAAGTAATGCTGACATCACACACTGCAAAAATGACATCTTTTCATTAAATTGCTTCAGCAAGACGCCTCCAATAAATGCTATCGTTATTTCTGATTGTGATCCCATGCTTATATTCAATATTCTATATAATGTTGGCAGAGTCCGTTTCATATCATTTGCTAGCTGTAACCAGTCAAAATCTTGCAGATTTTCCAAAGACTTATTTCCAAACATTGAGTTGGCATCACGTGTACATGTGAAACAAAGCTCTCTTTTCAGTAATGCTCCTACTCTTTCCACTATAACTTTTCTCATACTGGCATCCTTGAACATCTGATTAACGGCAGACTTTCTACTACCTCGACCAACACTCTTTGCTAAGCAACGTAGTGACCTTGTTACTCGATAAACTCGATGCTCCTTTCCTTTCTTATTGAGTACCTATATGGTTAACAATAAGAAACAAAAATAATAATCATATGAAACTACTGTAATTGCATTAGAAAATAATTTCCTTACTCACAGAAACACAAGGAGTTCCTTCAGCTATTGTATGAGATAGTGTATCTTTTTCTGGAGTACTCAGTTCATTTCTCATTCTCATCGGTGGTGGATCTTCATTTCTCTCAGTTTCAAACCTCAGACACAGCTTGTTAACAATTTTATTTTCTAAGACCATTAATTCCTACTTCAACTTTGATAGCTTCCTTAATGATGCTAGACAAGCTCCCTTACACAAAATAATCTGCTCCTGAAGACACTTCAGTACTTCCTCTTCTGAATGTTGTTGAAGCAGTAGATTTTTCAAAAATATCAGAGGTTCCTCCGTTAAATTTCTTAAGTAAATCTGCTTCTGAAGCTGTGTCTCATTATTACACAGGAAACAGTTATGTATTCCTTCAACAGACATTCAAGGAGAAGAAGAAAGAAGAAGGAAAGGTAGAAGCGTACACGTGCAAAAACGTGGACTAATTTTAATCAACTCATTAAAATTAATATCATGTGAGTAATATGAGTATTATCTGGTCATGTGACTCAAGCCAACTAGGTCAGCTAATTACATTCCAGTCTGCAACAGAGCTGCCTTGAGTGTCCCCAGACCGTTCCTCAAAAAGCGAAGGAGTGGGGCGACGAGACTAGCCCAGGTATTAACTATAATAGCTACTAAACTAAAAGAATAATTAATTACACAAATTAGTAAAACATAACAATACTGTTCTAGCTTAAAAGATTATACAATCTGTTGAAGAATAACCTTGATGAGTCAATTGTGATATTCGCTGACCTCAATAAAGTCTGAGCCTCATATACCCCTCCAGCCTCCATTCCCTTAACTATTATAGTCACACCAGCTAGACCTGACATCGTGATCATTGATGGTAGTTATATTTGTCTACTGGAACTAACCATCCCCAATAATAATTATGGTCATCTTAACAATTGCAATGGAAAGGAAGTAAAGGAAGGAAACCTATGTCTCTTTAGTATTATATATCTTTTTCTGTGAATATGCCACAGACCTAGAGACAGTTGAGATAGGATTTTTAGAAAACAGTTTTATTTCTCAACTCAGTTTCTCCACCATCTCCCGTTCATATGCCATTTTCAACAGTAGACAAAATAGTAAGTGGTCACAACCAACATGGCTATTACTTTTATTATAGTATCTATTGTGGCTTATTATTAGTGTTAATAATAATAATAATAATAATAATAATAATAATAATAATGATAATAATTATTATAAAAATAAGGACAGGTTAGAAGAAATTAGGTTATGTTAGAGCAGGACAGATGATGGAATAAAAAATGAGTCAAGAAGAAAAGAAAAAGATAGAAGTGAAAAGTAATCTAAATAATAATAATGTAATTAACATAGCATATAGTCAAGTGTGGCTCCATTAGGTGTATTAATGGATCACCACTTGGAACGAGCTCCACGTAGGTATAATATGGATGCTCTAACAATAGCAAATGACAGTCTAGTTCTTACCCAGCATACCACTTCACTATAAGGTTTATTCTATTTCATTGACAGTCCGTCTCCAATTCTCTTCACAAATCATGTAGCTTCTTGCCCATGAGACCATCCACAGAAATACATAAGGGTGTGAATATAGCTCTTCGTTCTTCACAAGCCGACTGGTACTTAGCCTTTTTCTCCCTCTCAGCCTGAACGAGCACATCAGGAGGACTCTTAGGCAAATATGACTGGGTGTCAGTGTCTACCACCTAATATCAAACAACGCCTCTGTCTGTGGTGTCCAAGCTCCTCTAACAGCTAGATCAGCAATTTGAGTAGGAGAATCAGCACTCATCTTACGAATAACTGGTTCCCGAGAAACATGCCCCCAAACGAGAGAGGCAAGATCACCAAAAGTGCCACAGATGTCATTGTGACGCTGAACAACTAGGCCTCCCTTATGGCATGAGAGCTTGAGATAAATCAAATGGAGAGTCACATCCATCACAATGAGCTGGAATATTGAGTAAGGGCTTCCAATACCAAATAGCAAGAGCATCACGAAACTCTTGTGCAGAGAAATCATACTGATGTTAAGAGATAGGTACCCCATTGAGCCAGAGAGATATTTTAGAATCCTTTGCTCGCTTTATCGCTCTCTGTTGCATCTTATCGAGTCCTTTTATAGTGGCAGTGAAGGTCTCCTCAAGCCTCTGATCTTTAATTTTAAATAGTTTGTCATGAGCTGAAATGAGATTATCTATGTGGATATCATAAACAAAGTCTTTCTGACGCTTCAGTGATTTGATCAAAGACTTAGTAGACCTCCTTGATAGTTGGTAATGAAAATCTTCAGTCATAGTAGGGTTCTAGATATTAAGACCTCCTAGACGTGTGGGTAGGAAACAGATAATTCTTTCATTAGTAGAAACTTCGCATCCAAACAAAGTTGGCATCAATTCAGTAGCTAGTTTACTTTCCAGCTCATCAAACAAATTGCCAGCGTCTGATACTTGACACTGAATATAGGTCCATTTATTCTGAATTGATCTTGTCAGAGCAGAGTAGGCCACCTGGAGTTGTTCCTTAGCTATCACTGTTAGCCTATCAATTAAAGCCGACCAGTCAGACACAGCCCTTTATAAACTCTAACTGCCTTTCTTCATAGCCGATCACCCCTCCAAGCAGTCTAAGTCCAGTCACATTATTGTCATTTATAGTGTACTACGTGGGCACATCAAAGGCACCGCCTGTTCTGTTATATTGCATACAGCACTAGTACAGCACCAGAAGTTAGTATCGGTGGGTTGGCTTCACAATGGCTAGCAGTACTGGGTGTGAGACGTTCTTTGTGACCAGAGAAGAAATGAAACTGCCCTACCTATTGCGGAACAGACTCACAACACTCCTTTACGATCATTGTTGGCATTTTGCTGTCTTTCAGTGCCTAGAGATGTTTTTGTATTGATCGTCGGGCAGCCAAGTCCATGTTATGTGGCAAAAAATTGCCTTGTGAGCTTTTAAATGTTTGTGCTGGCTTTGTCTCAACCTTAAAGACTCGAGAAAACTTCTCTAGGAGTGCATTTGGCGGACGCCTTTGATGCACCAACTATATCCCATAAATTAATTATAGCACAGTAAGAGTGCTGTATGTCTAATAACGGCACTTTGGGTGGAGTCTCAACAGCCATACAGCACTCTCTACTGTGCTATAACTATTATTTATAGTATACTACATGGGTGCATCAAAGGCACTGCCTGTTCTGTTATATTGCATACAGCACTAGTACAGCACCGGAAGTTAGTGTTGGTTGGTTGGCTTTACAATGGCTAGCAGTACTGGGTGAGAAGTTCATTGTGACTAGAGAAGAAGTGAAACTGCCCTACCTATTGCG